TCGAGAATGATGATTGTCTTTACGGTTGCTGAGAAAACTTTTATTTTTTATTATCATTTTTTTCTATTGAACAAAAAATTGTTTTTATTGCAGAATTATAATGATAATTTTACCGCTTAACATAAATCATTTCTATTCCAAATATCAATCAAATAGCAAAAAATAATTAAAATTTAATGACTGCTTAAATTTCAAATATTTTTTTTGTTTGTTTCTCTTGAATGAATGCTAAAACAATGAAAAATTAGTGTCTGAAATTCTTTCGTTTTTTTTCAAAATTTTTTCTTTACTTGATGACATCATCATCATCAACATGATAATAGTCGTACATTAACGGCCAGACAATACAACAAATGTTAACAATTCGGTTCATTCATTCGTATTTATTTTTTATTCAGTATTTCAGCTTGATAGCTATAGTTTCATATTTGTTTCTCGAAAAATGTTTCTGTTTATTTTTGCTCATTCATTTCATTTCATTTCATTTCGTTATTTTAGTTTTGTTTGTTTGTTCCAAGATTGCAACTCACTGATGATGATGATGATGATGAAAGAGGCTAGATTCTTCTACGCTCAAATGACAATGACAATTGATGATGGACTAATTGGAGAATTTTTTTTTCATTTCACATTGTCTTTTCTATTTTTTTCATTCGATTCCAAGTCAGTAGTTCAAGATGAGGAAAAGAAAAAAAACATTTTTTTTCGTTTATTTTTGTTTGATGGGGAAAACATTGTATGTTGATGATGATGATAATAATAATGATGATCCTTTTTCGTGTTTCAATTGATTGCAATTTTTCACCCAATTCAATTCATTTGTTTTGTTTAGGTTTGTTTTTTTTTGAAATTGAATCGAAAAACTTTAATGATCTTATCATTATTAGAAAAAAATGTGATTGTTTTGGTTCAGTATCATCATTCTATTTTTTTGTTTTGTTTCACTCGAAATTCACATTTTATTTGTTCTTGATAATGATTGACAAAATCATAGCCAATAGAATTATGATGGCAACATAAAACTTGAAACTTTTTTTTCGGAAATCCAATAGCGATGATGACATTGGAATATTAAAAGAATCAAATAAGAGTGCAAGAGTGGGAGAATTAAATATGTCACATTCAATTAATATGTTCATCTAATCACTTTCTATATTCTACTTATTCTATATATCAGATTCCAAAAGCAACAAAAAAAATAGTTTGCAAAAATGTTGGCTTCACTGCCATAAATAAATGAAAACTTTATTTCTGGTCATCATCGCCGTCAATATTTTATTTTATTTTAGTTGTGTGTTTTGCTTTTATTTTTCATCTTTTTTTCTCTTTTGATTATTGCAAAAAAAATGAATGAAATTCTTTTCTTCGTTCATCCATCATGAATTTATTTATTTATTTCTTTTCTTCACTATTATTTTTATTGAAATAAATGGTGAATAACAGTGATTAAATTTTGAATTGAATTCAATCACGCAATATTCTCATACAAATATACAGAAGGAACAATTACGACAACAAAATAAAACAAAAATTTATGATGAACAAATAGTTTTTAATGAATATCATATATAATCATTTATCATCAAATGTGAATAATGTTGATTAAATGAAATTTACACCCTCATTTGTTCATATACCCCCATATCAACCAAAAAAAAAAAACAAACAAACAAATAAATGAGTTTTATGATTAAATTCTTCTTGAATCAATTCTTATTCTTTCTATTTCTTTGCATTTTACATATGTTTAATTTAATTTGTAATTGAATCTTTAGATTATGGATTTATATTTGATTGTATTGGAACAAACAAAAAAAAATATGTTCATTTTCTCATTTCAAAATATATTCAACTTTGTAATAATCATCATCTTCAGTATCAACAACAGTAGTTTGTTAATTACTTTGTTATAATTTAATTTAGCTGTTTTTCATCATCATCATCATAATCATCGCCTAACATTAAATGATGAAATTTTTTTCTAACTGTGAAAAACATTGAAAAAATTTTCTACTACTATTGTATTTGTATAAAACTATTTATAATATAATAATACTGTTGATCATATAGACAAGGAAAAAAATAGAAAGACATGATAAAATGAATAAGATGGTTTTAGAATCTAGGATACTAAGATACTAAGATTCTATGATGATGATGATGTTTTTCGATTCATTTCTATTTAGTCATCATATCATTTCATTTATTTATTTGGGTAGTAGTTTTTTTCTGTATTATTTTTCATGATGATGATAAGTTTTACCAATATAATGCAGAATGTTAATGTTAAGAACAACGACAAACATAAAGACAGAAAAAAAATCCATTCATTAAGGAATCTTTTTCATCTTTTTTTTTGCTTTCACTGCTATTTATTTATTGAACTAGAATATTGTTGAACTATGTCGTTGCTAGACTACAAGAATACAGTGAGTGAAAATTGGTGTTCTCTTTATTGTCCATTGAATGAAATTGAGTAATAATTGCGAATAAAATAAGAAATAGTATGGATGCTTATGACAAACAGAAGAAAATAAATTCGTAACCTAGCTACCGCTGGCGGCAGCAAAGATTGCCCTTAACATTTGTTTTTTTTATTTCGTTCACATTTTAGTTATAGCCAATATGCCAATTGCTCATTCTTTGTTCAAAAAAACGATGGAAATAGTCTTGAAAAATCATCATTAGACACACATCTTACATGTCACATGTTACGTTCTTGAAAATAATGCAGAATGATAATAATAATTATTCTTTCATTTTATTCTATCAGTTTTTTTTCTCATTTTAGCATTCTCTTTTGTTGAATAAATGTATACTTTAATTATGAATTGCTCAAACTTGTTCGTTGTTGTCTATTCATTCTATCTAACTGGAATTTTGTACAATAAATCTATGCTAAATTATTTGTTGTTGTCGCATATACAACAACAACAACTACCAACAACGATATGAATGAAATATTTGTTTGAATATTACATACAAGCACACATACTTTGTTTTTAGGATGTTTAGCATCCTAGTTTACTTGAAATATATAAGGTTTTTGTTTCACAAATCTCATGGGATCGATGTATCAAATTAAGCTTACATGTAAAGGGGGAATCAAAAACTATTATATCAAAATAATATATGAGATTTTTTCTCCCCCTTGTTTTCATACTAAAGATTTAGATCCATGGGAGAGAGAGAAGATGTTTCTAGTCATCGGTGTTAATGTTGTTGTTTGATATCGGTCTGTTCATCTTTTTTAGTTGGTCGGTCGATTTTGTTTTCTGGTTGTTTTTGTATGGTTTATTCTATAGTCTTATCAACATTGTTTTGTTTTGTTTTATAATTTTCATTTATTCAATTGTTGTTTTTGTTGTTGTTAGTGATGATGATAAGATAATTCGTTACGTAAATTCATATTGTACAAGTTTTTAAAAATCATATTTTTTTTCTTCTTCTATGATCCTATGGAGAATATCTTGTTTTAACTTTCACTTCTTTTTTGTTTTTTACGAATCAGTCAATGTTTTCTGTTCATTTTTTTCACCGTGTTTTTTTATCATTTTCTATTCTTCTTGTTTGAATATAAAACAAAAAAAAAGACAAAACTTTTTTTTGTTAGCTAATTTGAAAGGCATAGTTGGATAAAAAAGAAAGAAAATTTATTATCAAAAATAAAATAACAAGAAAAAAAAACTAAAAATGGAAAATAAAAATAAAAACTTCTATGATGACAGCGAAAAAAAGGATCACTGTTAAATAGCTGATAGCTTTGTGTGTGTTTCGTTTATGAAAGAAAAATTTTTTTAAAAAAAGAGAGTGAGCTTTTGGTGAACTAGAATAAAATTGAAAAAATTAGTATCCAGAATTTTTTTTTTGTTGGAAGGATGATTTTTTAATTTATTTCATCCTGTATAAACACACAGACATTATTATCATTTTATTTAAATGCAAACATGATGTTTGCCATCATAATTTGCCATAATTTTTTTTTTAATTTCACAATGATAATCAATTTGAATTTTCATTTCATTTTTTTGTTGTATTTAAAATTTTTTTGGGAAAAATATTATGAAAAATTCACAACAGTGATAGCAATAATCGCTTTCATTTGACAAACGGACAAATCAAGATTTTTGTCATTCATTCGCATAATTGTTTATAATTACTTTTTTAAAATTTATAATTGTTGTATGTTACTGGCACACTTGGAATGATTTTATCAAATCTATTGTGATTATAAGATTTTCATTTATTGAAAATCATCGAATCGACTAATTCAAATGATAATTTTGAAAAAATAGATGAATATACCGGAATAGTATTTTATTATTTTGACTATCAAACTGACCCAACAAACCAAATGATAACAATAACAATAAATCTATGGTGAGAATAAAATTATTGTTCATTATTATTATTTTCACCAATATCATTGATATTGAAAACAATAAATATAAATTAGTTTAACAATCGATAGTTTTGTTCTACCAATAATGATTAGAAGGGAAAATATTTGAAAAAAATAAATGGACAAAAATGACATTTTATGGATCCAAAAAAAAAATTAATAGCTTCTGTCGGAGGCTTGTTGTTTTTGTTGTTGGGTGACATCTCTTTTTTTCGGGTTTTCGTGTAATTAACCCAATATACCAACCCATGAAAAAAATGTGGTTATCGTATTTTTTTTTTGGTCTCCCTTTCATTTTTTTTTATTTATTTCATTCACCTTATTAACCATGTCATTTTATTCTTTCTCTCTCTTTTTTGTCATTTGCGATCGGAAAATGTCAATTTCCCTTTATCATCATCATCATCATCATTACATTGTGTTTTACTTTTTTTTGATTATTATTATTATAAATAATAATAATATTCGTTCACCATTGTTCGATTTCATGACATCAAATTATTAATTGATCTTTTTTTTTCTTTCTTTCCTTTTTTTTAATATTTGACATTATATGTTAAACGACCATCACCACAAATAATAATAAAAAATTAAACAGTGGTTGAACAACGATTTGTAATCGAAGTTTACGATGAATTTGTTACCGCAGGCAATTCAGCATTATTACGTTGTCATATACCAGCATTTATGCGTGATTTACTTGATATTATTGGTTGGATAGAAGGTTCATCTAATCATATTTTACCCGATACAAATGCCTTTGTTTCATCATCATCATCAACATCATCGTCGTCGTCGTCATCATCGTCCATAACACACCGTCAAAATTCAGGTATATAATGATTGAATTTTTAAATTTTTGAATTATTTTTGAAAAAATGAGCTAAACTTTATTCTATCTTTTCATCATTATGAACAGATAAATATCGTATACTTTACAGTGGTGAACTTTTAATCAATAAAGTTGAGCCTGCTGATGCATTAAAAAGTTTTCGCTGTCAAGTTAAACATCGAATGACGAATGAGAAATTTTTAAGCTCTAATTCTGGACGTTTGTTTGTTTCCGGTAAGTAGACATTATTACTGAAAGGATGATGTTTTATCATTAATGTATCCATTTCATTTCGAATGGTTGATTGATTTTCCATTTATTTTATCTTTTATATAAAATAAAATTCTGATAATAAAAACAACTAATATTGCATTTTGTTATGCAGAGCTAATTACTAGTCAACCACCAAGAATAATCGATACAAATCGTGTAATAATAGCGGAAGAAGGTTCATCAGCAGAAATTGTTTGCCTAGCTCAAGGCTATCCTGAACCAACATACACGTGGTATAAAAATACTGATCTAATATCAGATCGTATTATAACCGAATCATCATCATCAACATTAAGTGGCCTAATGTCAAATAACTATCTAATACCTCGTTTTCGTATATTAACAAATTCAATATTGATCGAAAAAGTCAACCAAAATGATGCCGGTCTATATCGTTGTATTGTAAACAATAGTCTTGGTTCAGAATTGGCTGAAACACAGTTGATTGTTCGATGTAAGTGATGTTTCTTGTCATAATTTTTTTTTCTCTTCCTTTTGTCGATTTTACCAAGTGTTTTTTCTCTATCTTTTTTTCACATAGTGTGTGTGTAGTTACATTGAAAACATTAACGAAAAGAAAAAATAAGAATGGAACAGTAATTTTTTTCCTCTATTTATTCAGAATTGTTTGATCTACGACATGATTTTGACATTTTTTTTCTTTTTGTTGTTGTGACAGACAAATTCCGTTAAAAAATTGTTATAATGTTTAGCTAACGAGGAATGAAATTTTTTCTTTCTGTTTGTTATCCATTGTATGCAATATCGGTATGTGCTTTGTGTATCAATAGGATTTCCTGTATATATTTGTGTGTGTCCCTTGAAAAAATATCAAAAAAAATATATTTTCATTCATTTAAAAAACTAACGTAGAGAATGTGTCACCATTGATTTCATTTAGTTGTTACTGTGAAAAAATAAAAGATTTTTTCTGGTTCTAGTTTTTTTGAATATAATCTTTTCGTAAAAAAGCCATTCTATTCAATTCTCATTCATTTTTTCCCATTCGACATCAACAAAAAAAAAGGAAAGAGCATAATAACATTCAGATTTTTGTTCACATTTTATATGCACAATTTTCCTATCTATTTGCAATTTATTATTATTATTATTCATTCATTCTTTCCATATTACCAAAAACATAAATAATCATGCCCAAACATGGACAATGTAAATTTGCTTCTATTTCTCTTCATTTTTTTTCTTGTTGTTATTGTTATTGTTAGATATTTCTTATCTATTTTTTTTCTCGGAAACAAAATTGGGCATTTAGTTATATACATTTAGTGTATTGCCTATTTTGCCTATCAAATTTAATATGATTGGTCCTTCTCCTCCTCTTTTTCATCTTGTTTGCAAATTTTTCATTTTCATTATTTTTTTTTGAAAAGGCCAATTGAATTCACATATACATAGTTTATACATTTAGTTGGATGATCACCATAAGAAACCAAAAATTGTACCAAATGGGCAACAACCGAACAGAAATGGAAAAATCATTTTGATGTATTATATCCTAAATCGGTGGGAATTCATAGTGATTTTCGTCACTGTTTGTGTGTGTGTGACAGTGACTATTTCTATTATATCTTTAGCGTTCAGTTTGTTCCGTTAAACATCAATCACATTCTTTTGTCCATGTCATGGAATCGACCTCATACAACAATTTTTTCTCCTACTGATTCTGGTAGCCCAATTCTATTTACAATTTCGATGGTTTTTTTTGTTGAATTGTTACAATTTGCTTTTTTTGCAAGACCAGAAAAAAAATGTTATCTATGCTGGCATCTATACACCCATTGAACAGAGAAATCTTCTTTTTTCGGTCTTTTTTTCACTTGATTGCCATCGCTATAAGCATAAACAATGTTGACATTTGTTCACACTCAAACATGAAGCGTAAATTTTCTTTTCTCTTTTTTTTGATGTTGTCGTTGTTGTGAAACAGTGATCTAAGAGCAAGAAGAGATATTGCAAGCTTCAATCCAGAAAATCTACTCGTCAATTCGAATGAGATTTTATCATTAATTTCATATTAGAATTTTTTTTTGCTTCTTCTTTTTCTTTATGATGCTATTACAAACATTTCCAATTTTTCATTTATTTATTTTGGTTGTTCTTTTTTCATTATAATTATTTTTTTTTCTATTGCTTACCATTTTTTTTCACTTCTCTTTAACGACACATTCTTGTGTTTGGATCGCGAATAAAATCTGTCAATTTATTAATTGTTTTCACAATTGACGATGGTCGATCATCGATCGATCGCTATTTACATGTATGTGTTTATACAAAAAAAAATTATCCATCTACCAAACCACCGAATAAACACATATAACTAGAAAAAAAACAAAAACAAACGATGATTATTGAATTGAATAGTCGTTGATGGTCGAAATATAATGAATGTGGAATTTTTTTTCTCTTCGGTTCATTCGTGCGTTATTGGCATTTCATCTAAACATAACTGTTCAATCTCAATATTATAATATTGAACATCATTCCTTACAACATGATTATATATATTTTTTGGAATGATGATTTGAGGCTTATCATCATTTTAGCCTATGTTGTTTATAAAGGGAACAAAAAAAATGGGATCATTCTTCGATGGTGGATTTTCATACTTTACATGTTTTTATGTCACCAAATTATTATTTTTTTTCATTCATAATTTTTCTTTTATATTTTCTTCATTTGATTGATCACTTTTTTTGTTGTTGTTGCTGGTTACCGGCCATCATTATTTTTTTATTTGAGGTTGTGAAACAGGAAAAATGATGATGATAATGGGAAGTTTTCTCAATGTAAAGCTTTTATTTATTATTTTATCAAAAATTCTTTCAGTTAATACTAAAGTAAATAGGGGTCATTTTGTTTTTTTTTCATCACCGTCGTTCAACTCTATTTATTCATCCATTATTGAATGTGGAAAATCATCATGATATAAGAAGAAAAACAAACTATAAATTTTCTAGAATAACATGCAAAAAAATAAGTTTTTTTCTCCCTATCATAAACATATTATATTTACGGTAGATTTACATCTAAAATCTACTCCATCTTTTACTATAGTTTCAATTATGATGATGACGAGAATCCTCTTGAAACCTCTCTTTTCATGAATTTTGTCCAGTTGATTGATTTCACTATATTGATATTGGAGACAAATAATAATAGTAATAATAATGACATATTAGATCCTTTAGATCATGGACAAACAAAGTTCTTTTTTTCCTTTTCCTCGTTTAAGATATTGATATATATCATTGGATGAAAAATATTGTTTCAAAAGAAAAATTATTGATGATGATATGATTAATTGTTTGCAATGATGATCCATATAATCTAAGTAAGGAATGATCCACTCTTGCATTTGACATGTTATGAAACATTAAATTCATGTCGTGTGTCTGTCAACAAGATTGTTGACCTCATCCAAAAAAAAGGATCAGTACATTTTGACCAGATCAAAACAAGAACGTTTAAAAAAATGAAAAATAATTCAATTATCACATCATCATCATTAACGAGAAACAAATTCAATTTTTTCTAATAAAATGAAATGAGATGACTTTTGACCTCATACAGCCAACAACAACAATCATATCGATGAATGAAAGAATTTAAAAAAATTAATTTGGGTCTGATTTTTTTCTCACCATTGTTTTTGTTGATTTGTTTGTTCGTGTGAAATAAAAAAAAACAAGAACAAGCAAACAAACATAATTTAATCAAGCATTTGCAAAATCAGCATAATTTTTTCCCCTTCAATATTGTTAGTGGTCGATAAGTAGTCGAACAAAACAACCCTGCAGAATAAAATAATCGTTTTACTAATTAAACTTGATATATTAGATAACATTCGAAATAAATTGCTCATTAGCCATCGGCATTGTTTTTTTTCACTGCTGTTGCTGTATTTGGTTCAAATAATTACCAGATACTCTAATTTTTTTTCCATTGCTTACAGTATTAACAAATTCAAGTCGGAATGTTCAGTATGAGAGATCCAAATAGAGAATGAAAATCAATGATTGTCCGCTTTATTTTTTTCAACCATGCTTACTGATTCTGTTTGTCTATTGTGTGTTTATCTTTATCTATATAATGAAATAAAAAAAATCAAAATTATATCAACAATAACAATTTCGAATAGAAAACGAGAGAAAAAACATTATGTTTATCTCATTATCATCTTGTTGATAATGATGATGATTATTATTATTATCATTACAATCATCATCATCATCATAAATGTTGGTCTTGATGTCTGTAATGTTGAAAAATTGTCAATTTATCAGATGTCGATGTTAGAATGTTTGTGTTTTATTAATGAATCGATTTATTTCGTGTCATCATCCACATCAATGACAAAAATCACAATTTTTTCGCTTTTCTTTTTTTTTTTTGCTTCAATTTTATTTATTTATTCTCTGTTCATTCTCAATTGTTTAGCACCATTGAATGTCCAGATTGGTCTTCCAATAATTCGCATTGAATTGGGCCATAGTTTAACGCTTAATTGTACTGTTAGTGGTGGCCCAATTAAAGCTATCGAATGGTTACATAATGGTCGTCCCATATCAAATATGTTGACGAGTAGTAATGGTGGTGGCACATCATCAACATCAACTGGCATTGGTGCCATTTCATCATCATCATCATCTTCATCGAATGGTAGCGGCGGATTTCGTATACGATTAATTTCTCGTGAAGTTTTACACATTTCCAAAGTAACACGAACAGATCATGGAATGTATCAATGTGTTGCATTCAATGATTTTGATTCGGCACAGGCACAAGTTCAATTACAACTTGGTGGTAAGTTTTCAGATTTTTTTTTGAAAAAAAGATTGATTCATCGATGGACTTTTTCATTTTGTGTTTTACAGATAATGCACCACAATTGTTATCGGTATTTTCGGAACAAACATTACAACCAGGTCAACCATTATCATTAAAGGTAAGTTTTTTCATTAGCTAATATAAAATTTTTTTTATAGATTAAAAACAAGAATTGTAAATCATGTAACAGACACGAATATCTTGCACACACACAAACACAAAACAGCAACAACATTGATGACAATCCCAAATGACGACAATGATAACATCCCAAGAGGCAAAAAAAAGAAAAAGTAAAAATAGAAATTCTTGTTTAATCAAGCCTAGTAGTGGTGAATAAATGATTGAATGAATCATCTCTCATTGGCAATATTTTCTTTCTCTCACTGGATTTCTTTACCAATAAAGAAAAAAAGATCCATATCCTTAATAATAATAATAATAATAAGGATGTAGATGAAATTAGATTGATTGGTTTTTCTTTTTTCTCTATCTTTTACTTTTTCAGGATTTCAAATATTCTGTTCAAGTCAGTTTGTTTTTTTTTCTTCTCGATGCATCTAGTTTTAACATTACACTAATGCTGTCATCAAATCAGTGATACAAGAAAATATTAGAAAGTTGAGATTGATTGATTATTATAAAGAAAAAAAACGAAAACTATGATGTTGGGTAAATGGAATACATTCGAAACATATTAATATTTGTATGAATCAATTCTTGTTTTATTAATTCCAAATTCCTTTCTAAAACATATTGTTGGTTAAATAAACTGGAAATTTTCTTGTTAAAAACAGAAGAATTTGATTATTAAAGAATATTTTTATGAAGAAAAATGAATTTTTTTTTAAATTATTTATTTTCAAAATAATCTAGTTTACTTGATTCACTTTATTCAGAAAAAAAAACAATATCATATTTTAAGAAAAAAAAACATTGATGATGAAAGAATTTCATAATCATGATCAATATCTTTGAATGTCTTGAGGCTAAAACAATATATAGTTTTCTTTTTTATCATCACCTTTTTTCCAGTTTTAGTTTTTATTTTTGTCATCATTTTTTCGAACGAAAAAAATAATAATTTCATTTAGAAAAATTCAATTCGTAAACAAAATGCCATTAACAGAAACTCATTTTTCTTCGATTTATTTTGCTTCAAGCATCAAATATAGTAAAATAATAGTCATAGATTCTATTATTAGAAAAAAATATGTCGGTTATCATAATAATAATCGAGAATACGTTTCATTGAAATTATTTTTCTTTAAAAGAAAACAAAAATTCGAATTGAAATATTGAATTGAATGATGCGGCAATATATCGATTTTATCATTTGTTGCTCATTATTCAATTTTTTCAAATATATAGCGGCAATATTAGCGTGAAAATTTTCAATTTTATTTTTCATTTATTTTCAATTTTGCTTTATTTTTATATCGATTATCTTTCAACCGCCCTTTTTGTCATATCATTGTTGATTGATTTTTGATGGGCAAATTTTTATTCGATATTTTTTCACTTTGTTTTTTTTCCGTTTTGCTTACTTTATGGATGATGACCTCGTTCATTGTTGTTGTATTGCAATATATTTATATGATCGAATGCAAATGATCATTTTTTTTGGTGGGTCGGATGTGTGAAAATGGATAAACAAATTCATTTTTTTCCTTAGTCAAGCCAAATTCCTCGGGCCTAAATCAAATTATGAACACTATTCGCAAGTGAATGAGCAACGACAACGGAAATGTTTTCATTTTAATGCTGGAAAGAAATAGCAATTTATTTCCATGTATTTTTATCGAAGAAAAAAAGCAATGACATAATATCCATGTGTCAATTCTATATATCATGTCTATGAATGATGATAATAATAAATCAGTCCGTTCAATTTGATACGATGATTGATTTTCAATTTTTTTCAACCAAAGATTCGATCCATTGGATTGTTTTTTTTACACTCTCGGATGTATCATCATCATTATTATCAATTTTTCTCTTTTCATTTTATGTTGTTATTGTTTTTCATTTTTCATCCACTATTTTGATGTACATAATGATATAGACATGCTTATGTAGAAATAGTCAAAATTATTCTTTTAGTCGAATGTTTACTCGATATCCACTTTCATGGACATTCATTTTTTTCTTCATTTTTGTCTAACTGGTTTTTTTCTTGTCGTTCATTTTTCGAACGAATTTATCGATCGTTTCTCTATCTGGTGTCTGATGTTGTCCAAATAGTTTCACATTAACACTTTGTATCATAATTACTAATTCAAATTTTTCATTTTTATTTTCTCTACTTTCACACTTTCTCACACACTTTTCCTACAAACCATCCATCAGTGTATTGCATCAGGAAATCCGATACCACAAGTTTTATGGCATGTTTATGACAAGTTACCGATACCCGATCATTTGGCTAGATATCGTATTGGTGATTATGTAACAAGAGATTCATTATTGGTCAGTTATGTCAACATATCATCCATACTACCCGAAGGTTTGTGTTTGTTTGTTTGTTTACATTTCGTATCAAGTTTGTTTTTTATGTCGTTTATCGATAAAGTTATTATATTTTTTTATAAATAAAAATTTCACATTGTTTTTTCACTATCTTTATTTTATTCTTTTTTTCTTACTGTCAGATGGTGGCCTTTATACATGTCAAGCTATGAATGATGTTGCAACTGTACAGCATACAGCTCGTATCAATGTATATGGGCGACCAACTATAAGACGTATGCCAAATATAACTGCAGTTGCAGGTGAAAGTATTTCGATTACATGTCCAGTTGGTGGCTATCCGATCGATTCTATTGTTTGGGAAAGAGGTATGATGAGAAAAAATGAAAATTATTTAAAAATCAATAATTTCTTTTTTTTTAAAGATTCCGTACGTCTTCCATATAATCATCGACAAAAAGTGTTCACAAATGGCACCCTTACAGTCAATGAGCTTGAACGTGTAACCGATGAAGGAATTTATACATGTATAGCACGTAATAAAGAAGATGTTCGTTCAAGTGCCAAAACTTCATTCTCATTAAGAGTATTCGGTATTTGGTGTTTTTCATTTCATTTTTTTTAATAAAACAAAAATTCATTCAGAGGAATCTTTTTTTGGAAAAATTCGATCAATTCGATTATTATTCAAGTTATTAGTTAAAGAATGTTTTTCTTATTACCATCGATATTAAGTCTTTAATATGCTTGCATTTTTTTTCATTAAAAATCATCATCATTATCATTGACTCGTTTCATTTACCATGATAATCCAACTTTAATAAATAAATGAATGAATGAAGGGATATATACCCGTATGGAACAAAAAGCAAAGAAAACGAAACACTGTTTACCATTTCTAAAACATAATTTCAAACATAAAAAAAATCGTGATGACAAACATTTGTATTTTTAGCCCCAAAACGTAAAACGACGACGTGCTCTGAATTGTCGAGCATAGAAAAATATTGTATTCGATATTCGAAGTTGAAAAAAACTTTAAAAATGCGAATCAAACTTTAAAATCACTAGATATTTTTGTTGTTGTTGTTTCATACTATGAAGTTTTAAGAATAAAAACCAAAATAAATTGTAAAAGGAACATGAAAAATTGAGAATAAGAAATGAAAGAAAATTGCATTGAAATTTTTGGAATGGGGTTTCGAAATGAAATGAATAACTATCACATTTTGTCTATTATAAATATAGTTGATGATTTGATGATGATAATAATAATAATAATAATGATGATTATCATCGAATGCCGAAAAAATAATAGACATTTGAGCCAAGATGATGATGATCATCATCATTATATCCGGTGAAATATAATTTTTAACTTTTGATAAGAATTGATGTAAATCGATACATTTTATGTGGATATAAATTTTTTTTCTTTGAATTTCATATCAATTCGGCAACCAATTATAATAGCCATGAAAAATATTCTACATTAGTATTTTTATCTATAACCGATATCGATTTCATTATCATTATAATATTTAATGTTGTTTTTTAGTTCAATTGATTGGTTCAAAATTTTATTATCACGCATATGATGCAGGTGATAGAAAGGCCAGACAACAAAAAAAAATTCCTAAGGCTTATGCCGAATCGATTTTGTTTTTGTTCAAATTGATGTTTTTTTTAAAGAAAAATATTTCATTACTTATCAAAAAAAAATTCTTTAGCCGCCGAGAAAATATTATCATAATATTAACAGTTAGATAAACATTCATTCATTTATTCATTCGATTCAGTCAAACAATTTGAAGTTCAAAAAATGTTCACTTTAAACAAATATGATGAAAATTGAAATTTTATCATTCAAATGTTTATCTGAAATGTATGAATCACACACTTACTCTCTGGTAATCAGATTTGTTCCAAATTTTACATCCATCTAATATATGATGCATATATGACTGATGAATATGAAATTAACTGGATCCTTAAAGCAATAACAACAACAGAATTTTATTTTGAATAATGATTATGTTTGTATATTTGATTATTCATTCATTCTATTCCGTCAGGTAAATTTCTTTTGATCTATGTTTCTTCCCTATATGTGTAATGGATGTTTATAACATGAAGTGAGCATTCAAGCATAGTGAGAAAAGAAAAAAAGAAAATTTTTTCCTTTATTGTGTCAGTTTATTTATTTATTTATTTTTTGTTTGAAAATGAATTGTTTGCTTGATTGAACACACTGTTCGTATACACACATTTTTAATTCTAAAGAATAACTTTTATCTGACAAATCTGGCTTTTTTATTTATTCGTTGATCAATTTTTGTTGTTGTTGTTGTTTTTTCATCATTTGTGATCCTCTGACCCTGAAGAATGAAGAGAAGAAAAAACAATGAAATCAATTAGAATTGTTATTTATAACATTTCATATCTTAACTATTGAAATGATGTGTTTTTGTCTAATACATTAAGTTTTCATTAACATCATTCATCATTCAATAAGAATTTCATCACTTTTCATTTTGTCATCAAGGTTTAAATCTTGTTCTGCATTTATATTTCATATCTATCATATATATGGGTTTCATTTATTTTCATTTCCAATTTCTATTTTAAGCTTTTGTCAAAGAATTGCTCTTCAAATTTATTCCCATATGAATTGTTTTTTTAATCAAATTCTGGAAAATATTGTTTTTGGATTCGGTTGTTGTTGTTGTTGTCATAAATTTTTCATTTATTCTTAAACACACAACAGGAAAACCAAATGGATTGATTTGTTTGGTATCTAAGAAAAGAAAAAAAGTTTGTCAAAAGAAAAAAAATTCCATCCATAAAGTTGACATCAAATTCTGAACTTTATCATTATCATCGTCATCATTATTTTTCATAGATAGAATTTTTCGAAAAAGAAATGCGATAAATATGAAGACGAAGAAAGAGAGAAAGACGATTTTTAAGTTCATTCAATTGATTTCTTATCGAATTTTCAGTTTTTTTTTATTCTTTGCATCCATTTTTTGAGTTATTGGGTTACCAATGAAAAAGCAGAACAAAAAAAGCATATTATCGTCAATGTGTTTGTGTGTGTGTGTGTGTATGGGCACCAAGTTTATTGATGAAATTATCGATGACGAAAGAAGAAAAAAAACAAAATTCTTTGTGAAAAACAAAAATTGTGAATCGAAAAAAATAAGCACAGAAAAAAAACTATTATCATTATCATATGTGTGTGTGACTATGTCAAATTATTAATGGCATTCTTTAGTATTCTGGTTATTTTTTTTTATTTTTGCTCTCGTATATTTCGATAAGCAAATTCTTTCATTTTCGATAATCATTTCTTATTCGGTTTTTTCTACTGTCTTATTTTTTTTTGGTGGGTCGATTTTGTTTTTCTTATTCTACAACATTTTTTTTTTGTTCAGGAAAAAATGAGATTCTTTCGGTTTTGGTTTATTACTATCGATCGATCGATTTTTTTATATTAAGCGTTTATGACGATGATGTATTCGAAATCATCATCACTGGAATAGTTGATTGAAATGAATCAATTTTTTTTTGATTGGTGATAAAAAATCAACCAGAAATAAATGCACAAATTTTAATTGTCATATTTTATTTAAATTGTGTGAATATTTTTGATTGGATAGAAAAAAACAAACTTTTTCCATTCTCCTCCTGGAATACATTGCCAACAAAAAATAAAAGAAAAATCTAAAAGCTCACAATTATATAGCATCAATAATCAATAAACCATTTGTTCGACTTCGTTATTTTCTTTTTTATGTTTGAAAATTGAATATAAAAAAGTAACCAAAGAAAAAAATGGGAAAGAAAAAAAAACAAAATTGATGGTTATACACTGTTTAGTATTTAACCATACAAATTTCGATTGATTTGTCTTGATTGAACCACTTTCCAATGTCTCATCTCCTCCTATTTTTCGACTTTTCTTTTTTTTATGCTTAGAAATCAAAATTGTGAACATCTTTGTGTGTGTGTTTATAAATACTGATGGTCTGCTCCAAAGGAAAATGGAGCTTGAGCAAAGAATGATGAAAGATAGAGAAAAACCAATCAATTGATTATGACTTTGATGAAGCACTCAACTCACCAATTGTGACATATAGAAACATTTTTTTGTTGCGGAACTTACTAACTAAACAAATATGTTGGCCTATTTGATTTCGCATGTTTTTATTTGATTCTACTTTTTTATTATTTATTATTGATCATATAATCATGCTAGAATTTTTTCTCTCTCTCTTTGTGATTGTCGAGCATATCAAATATACTATACAAACAGAATCATCATTATCATTATGGAAACGATATAGATGTTGATGATGATGATAATGATGGCCCAATATAAATATCCTAATAACATTGAGTGTCCAATTTCTAATTATCACTGAACATCAAATAGCCAAATTGATTGTTGCTTTTCACTTTTTCATCAAGTTTGAATATAGATAGAAATTACGATTGTCGATTTTCATCAATATCTTTTGTTGATTATGGCTATTATTATTTCTTATTCTGACTGTCATTGGAAATTATATTTTATTATATCCACACACACACCCTTTTATCAATTCTGTTAATAAAAATAGTCATTTTTTTTCTTTGCATATTACATTCTCGAATTATTACTGTCATTATCTCATTTGGCTAAAAATTCAAATTCAATTTTTTTTGTTGTCCATTTTAATCTAAATATATTTCATTAAATATTTTAGCTATTGTTGTCGTTATTATCGTATCAATGTTGTCGAAATGATTTATATCGAATTGATCGATGTTTCGATTTCCACGTTTATTATCATTATTATTAAACTAGATTATGAAAAAAATAGACATAGAGAGAAGGAAAGATAGGAAAAAAATTATAATAAGAATCATAATACATGTGTGTGTGTGTGTGAAATACATTTGTATGATGATGAGCTATTTGGTAGGTCTTTTATTCGCATTCGATGATGATGATAGTAAAACGATATTAAATTCGCTACTAGACTACTGATTATTACAACGTTATCGTTCATTGATATATATGTGTTACTATGAAACTATAGTATGATGTCCATATGAATTGCCCAATGATGATAATATAACTGTGTATGTCGTTGACTGACCAAAACAAAACGGGAAAATTTCAATAGCTTTGTATGTCTTATGTAAAAATGTATGTATCGAGAAAAAAAATAACCATAAAATAACCGATCCATTTATCTATTTTGCTCAATCATTTTAATGATTTCTACATTTTTGTTTTTGTCCCACTCCTATCATGTGTGTTGAGAGTTCATTCATTTTGTTTTGTCATTCTTTTTTTTCCCATTCTATTGTATTGTATATGATTTTCATTTATTCTCTTTTATTTCGATTTTGTAATTCTCATTGTCGAATCATGATCATGATCATTGTTTATGGTTGTTTTTATTAATTATGATTAAAATAAAAACTAAATCATGTAGATATTGTTTTGTTTAAATATTATTTTTATTTTGGATGGTGTATATGTGATATGATTTAGATTGCTCGGTTAGTTATTGTTGTTGTTGATGATGGTGGTGGTCAAAATCGAATATATGAACGTAGGGGAAATATATTGAAAAAATCATTCAGTGCTTGTGGTTTTTCTTTGCCTTCTTTGTTATCGTCACAATCTCTATGGATTCTGTCCCATTATATTTCTTTTTCTTTCTATTTTTCACTTGGCATATATTGATTGTCGATGTATTATCAATATGATCATTTTCATTTTCTTTTTCTTTTTTTTTTGTAGATGAATGAACAATATTTGATCAGTAGCAGGAAAACAACTACAATTATACTCTATATGTTGTCTTAAATTGATGATGAACACGAAATGAGAAATCATGTCTACCCCTCATTCCAAAGAATAAAAAAAAACACAACAAAAACAAACTCAAAAGATGAAAAATTATTAATAGTGTTTCTTATGTTTTCTCTCTTTCTCTTTCTCTCCAATGTGATATGTTGGTGATCATCATTATTATTAATAGTCATAATTATGATCCAGAATATAACATGAGATTTATTGAATAATGATCAAATAGATGATGGTGCTTGCTTGGCGGTATTGTGTAATGAGATAGAAAACCATAACATATTATTCTGGTTGTTGTTGTTTTTGTTGTTGATTTTTTTTCTACTGATCTTTGTCCATTGAGTTCATGATATTATTGTTCGATAATAAAAAACTAAAGAAATTTTTTTTTTTGAATTTTCTCGACGATTCTTGATTGTAAATTGTATAATATGTGATATGTGAATTTATAATTTTATCTTATCTCAATCTTATCATTATCATCATTATTGGAATATATTATAAGATTCATTTATTATCATTATCAATTGTATATGATACCTAATGATCAAATATGCTGCACAAAAAAAATTTATCTAATCTTTGTTATTTTGAAGTGAAACAAAAATGCTAACTTCACTGCTCAAATTCAATTAAATTTTTTTTTAATTTAAAAACAAAATAATTTTATTTAGTTTACTTATGATCCATTCTTTTTTTTTGTTTTGTCCTCTATAATAATTTACCCTTCATAATTAATTAATGCTAATTTGTTTATTGTTTTTTTCTACATTTTGGATTTCATTTTTGATTCAATACGTTTAAGCATTTGGAAATAATGTTGATTATGTGATTATATTATATGATCGTTTTTAAATACTGTCGTTTAGTTTTTATCGTACAATAAGAATTAGAAAAATTATTATAACCGGTTATGACAGTTTATTATTTTTTATTTCTTTTGGCTTTGGGTTTTCTAATCAAAATAAACTCTAGAAACAAAACTCTATTTAACCACAATGAAAAACATAAACAAAAACCCACAATAATTAAACCAAGTTTGCGTAAGAAATAGAAGAATATAACAACAACAACAACAAGTCATTTGAGAAGCAAAATTCTTGATTCACATAGTTTTTTTATCGTTGTTGTTGTTATTATTATTTGGTTTTGGCTCGATGATTTTATTCGTACGAACAAAATATATTTTTTTGTTAGCAAAAAAAAAACATCGGATATATTTATGCGCATTTAATTGCTTAAATATTATATCTACTTGTTTGTGTTTTTTGGTATGTTTATATTCTTCTTTTTTGCTTGGTTGATTTCCTTCTGTTGTTTTTGTTGTTATTGTTTATGGGCATCAAATTACCGATTATATTCTTCCGTTTTGGATTGTTGATTGTAATTGGGTGTGCGTGTATTTGTTCACTGAATGCCTTTTCTCTATATTATAATATTTTTCATCATTTCCTATTATAAAGATTTACCACCATCATTAACACAGTATGTAGAATTTGAGAATTTATAGAATTCAAACCAACGATAAAAATGACAAAACTTATAATAAAAACAATGATGATGATGATGATATAAAATCAAATAACCATAGAATCTATATGCTAATTCATCGTCATCATCATCATGTTGTTATTACATATGTCATGTCGGTGTAAATAAAATGTTTTTTGTATTGTTTTGTCCAGAATCGCAAATCATTTCGGTAGTGTTTAGTATTATTGTTGTTGTTGCTTTTTGCTATTATAAAAATGTATAAAAGAATGGGCGTATTATTTAGTAATTTATTTTCATACGGTTCGAAGAATCAGAATATCGTTGTTGTTGTTGTTGTTTTATCCATACACAAGAAATATTATTGTTTTAATCATCATCATTTAAACTGTACAATTTTTCATTGATGATGATAATGATGATCACATCTCTAATGGTTCGTCAAATTTGTTTTTATCGTTCGTTTAGTTTATTCTCTTTCTTTCTTTTTTTTTCTTTTCGTTGATAAAACTCGACTCATTACCATAATTTAATTGAAGCTTCATAGCATATTCATGCGTTCCGTTTCAACAAATTTACCAATGTTGTAGCCATTTTCGTTGCTATCAGCAAGATGTAAAAGTACTAAATGAATGAATACATAAATGGATTGATGAATGAAAGTGAATGAACACGCAATCACTGAATGATGAGGAACGTATGGTTCCAGAAAATTACAAAACATTCTATTTTTTTTGGTATTATGCATAAATGTAATGTTTCCATTATTGATAGTAATTTTATGTGTATGTGTGTATAGGAATTTCTCAAACACTATCCATCGAAAAAAGTGGAAAAAAAGGAAAATTAATTAAGTGAAAAAACTTGTGTTTTAAGTGATTGCTATTTCCTATTTTTATCGTTTTTTGTCTATCCAGCTCTCATTATTATTATTATTATCATTATTTTATTTTCATTCATGTTAGTTTCTTCACTGATTTGTTTCTAAACAAAAAACAACAACAATGATGATGATGATGAGAAATCTTTGATTCTTAAATAATGTAAAAATTTCTTGCTTTTTCTCACTTGAAAAATTTCCTTTATTTTAATAATCTTTCAGGTGTATATTTTTTTCGACGAAAAATATTCATTCAATTCATGAACAATAGTGATGATGTGGATGAAAAAAAATCACCGAATAAAATCTATTAGATTGCAACGAATGTTTTTTTTCCTATTAATCTTTTATTATTCGTTTCTTTCAATGAAAAAAAAAACATTGAATAGAACCGATCAAACAATGTTCGTGTATGTGTGATATGATCTGGCCTTAAGGAACTTCGAATAATAGAAATATCTTAACTAATAGCTATATTGAATACGTATAGATGTCTAGTGTTGATAAAATAATGAGAATTTGAACGTTTCATATATACACACATACAATACCATAATTCTGAATTGATTCGATGAAATAAACGAGATATTCCTCTTTCTCTATCTTTTTATTCATTATTTTCATTTTTTTTCCTAAAACAGGATGTATACGTGAAACTAATATTTGATTATCATTTTTTTCTCTTTTTTTTCCTTCAATTCTATTATTCGGGGTGAATAATGTGATTTTTTCTTTCTCTGGCCCTTTTTTTAATCATTGATTTGTTTAGTTCGTCCTGTGATCGAACCATTCAAATTTCCACAGTCCTTACATCAATCTCAGCGTTATAATTTACTTTGTACGGTTGTCAAAGGTGATCCTCCGATCAAAGTATGTTAACAATTATTTTATTTTCCATTATCATCATAATTTTATTGTCATTTATTCTAATGAAAAATTTTATCATTATCACACATTTAATTATAATTGACTTTTATAATTTTATTCAGGTTGAATGGTATAAAGATGGAAAAAAATTATCTATTGGTTCATTTCCTCATACGAATATCATACATGTTACTGATTATTCCGTTACTTTGGCATTCGAGTCTGTACAGCCTGACCATAGAGGTAAAGAAGTGTGAATATTAAAAAAATATTATTTTTTACCTTTAAGAAATTTCCATCAATTTATTCGATTCTTTCTCAAACAAATAGGTAACTATACTTGTGTTGCATCGAATGGAGCTGGAAGCAGTAGCCATAGTGCAACAATGATCATACACGGTAAGTTTTAAATGAGAAAATTCATCAACATCAAATGAGTATGCACGTAATAAATTAACATTTAGATGCCATGGCCTTTTCAATTATTGTTTTAACCATTGTCATCAATAAATGTTGAGCTAGAATGAAAATTCTATTGGTTTGTCATCGTCGCTCATTATTATTATTGTTTTTGCTGTTGCTATTACTGTTATTTGATGATGATGGTTGTACGCTAATTAAATTAATTACATCCAACTCAAATCTTTTAGCTAAAATACCAGAATGTGAAATTGTAGTACAATGGCATAAAAAACGTGAAGAATGTAATCATTATAATTAGTGCTTAAATTCGAAAAACCTGAAACACCCCGTTTGAATCTATTTTTTTTTTATCGCCATTCACCTCAACTCTCTTATTTATCAATTGCTACGTCAGTAGCTCGAATAATTTGTTCTGTTCGATTGTCATTATTAAGGAATTTTTTTTATCTATTCAATTCCGGTTGAAGAATTCATAGCTAAAATGAAACATTCATACATCCGTACTGCACAACATTCGAACACATTCGTTATAAATTGATTAGAATTTTAATTGTTTTTTTCTTTCGTCACATGAATATCTAATGAAGTGTTTTTTTTTCTCTCTCTCTTGCATCAATTTGAACAATTTCGAATCAGATAGAACATGATTTTTTTATCGCATCACTTTCAAGACGATGATGATTTGTTTTTTTTGTTGTTTGTCGACAGTTTTGGTTGTCGATCTTTTCAAATGGAATTCTTGGATTGTAAATTGTAAAATTTTTGCTTATGTCAGCAACAATTTGATTATGAAGAGAGTTGTTTTTTCTGTCTTGTAAAGTTTTTAGCTTGCTTTCAAATTCCCCAATTTTTTTCGTGTATGTTCAAGTGGAAAGAACAATCATCATTCGTATCTTTTCATTTCATTCTTAACACTATATTCGCATAAGTTTCTTTTCTTATTCTTTTTCTTATTATTTAATTTGTATCAATTACGAACATAGAAATAAATACGAATATTATTATCGAGGTTTTTCATTATAATTTGTCGATTGGCAAAATTAGTAACCCAGTATTATTTCCTATTCAATTTTTGGTTCAAAATGATAAATTTTTCTATTATTTTTGCCGATTTGTACTTCAGATTGTTGTTCTTTTTTTCTCCCATTTGATTCAACAAACAAACATTTATTCCAAACAAATTGTTTCCAATGTTTATAATTGATTGACTTGTTTTCATCAATTCTATTTTGACTTTTCTTTTATTCATTTTTATACATCAAAATTGCAATCTCATCGCCCAAAGATGCCATACAATTGTCTTACAAATAGACAATATCAAAATGAAAACAATTTGTCTCTCGAGAATATTGGATATTTCTTTGCTCTCTATGTGTGTTTTGTTTTTTTTGTTGCCTAGTTTGTTTGGTTGGTTAGTTGAAGAATCCCTATAGAATCTATTGTATATGGAAAATTTTTGTGTCTAGACCGTATAGTATTGCGAAGATGAACGCGAAAAAGTGAAAATAGAAACTTTACTTCAATTTTTTTTCACAGTTCAAATGTGAAGTTAAAAAATCAAACCCAAATAAAAGCCAGTTAGATTTTCTTTGCTCATATCAAATGTTTTTATGCAAATGAATCTGAAAATTTGGAATCAAAATATTATGATGAAAATAGAAGAGAGAAGGAAAAAATTCGAACCGACCATCCGTTCTTGTTTTTTATAATATAAAAAGATATAAAGAATATTCAATAATCATTTGCAACATCATATCTATCTAATATTTATGGAGAAAATATTAGAAAATCAAACGATAAATGATCATTCTGAAAGTAATTCATCATTTAATGACGTTGAATGCCCTATATATTCTTGACATATACTGTAAAAATAAGTATCTGTTATCGGTATTCGATTTGATGATGGCTCTTAAAGTTTCGAGGTTAAAGATGTTTGGCGTTTGAATGATAACCAATGAATATCTACGAAAAAAATATGAAACAAAAATGAATCATTTTTTACATTAATTCATTCTTCTTTTTTTATATTTCCACTTTTTTCGTTTATCAATCATTAATATACATACAGTACCACCACGTTGGCGTATCGAACCAACGGATATGACGGTCGTTAAAGGACATAATGCCATTATTGATTGTGATACGGATGCCTATCCGGAACCGGTTATTACATGGTCACGGGCTGAAGGTATAATTAAATTCTTTCTTTCTTTTTTTGAAAATCATTCTCTATTATAATCATTATTATTTGAAATATATTTTGAAAAAAAATTCTTCTCTTTTTTTCCATTAAGGTCTAGATATTAACAATGAATTACCATCGAATTTCAAGCCAATCAATTCAAATGGACATTATCGATCATATGAAAATGGATCATTGGTCATACATAATTCACATAAATCCGATACTGGTTATTATATGTGTGCTGCATCCAATGGTATTGGTCCTGGTATCAGTAAAGTTATTAAGATTACTGTCAATGGTAAGCCACTGTAAATGATTTTGAGAATAAAATTATTATCAAACAAACATATAACAATTTAGTATAAACAATTCTATTATTTGACATTCATATTAAATCGAAATCATTGAATTCTGTCTGGATCATCAGATTCGCAGATTTTTTTTCATTTAATGGTCATTTTGCTATGCTTTGTTATTTATTTTGTTTTTGTTTTTTTTGCTTTTTATTATTCAATTAGTTGCGGCAACATTTGAGACAAAATTCCGTACTGAAACTGTTCATCGAGGATTAGAAGCACGAATCAAATGTAGTGCAAATGGTGATAAGTAAGTGGAATCATATTCGGATTTATCTATTTTTTCTATCCTTTTTGGAAATAGTTTTTACATTGTGGAGTAAAGAGGCTTATAATGTTGTTATCCTTTTTTGTTTGTTTTATTTGTATGATAGGCCTGTTACCATTTCTTGGTTCAAAGATAAAGCACCATTAATGACCACTGAAGATGGTCGATATGATCTAATTGAAACAATTATGAATGAAGGTATTAAATCCGAACTATTGATTCGTAATGCTGATCGTCGTGATGGTGGTCTATACACGTGTTTGGCATCCAATTCATTTGGTCATGATGATACCAATATACAGCTTATTGTACAGGAACCGCCGGATCCACCAAGTGATATAAAAATTATTGAAAGAGATGGCCGATCAATACGTATTCAATGGTCAACACCATATAGTGGTAATAGTCCATTAACTCATTATATTGTTCAACATAAACCTGAAAGTGGTATGTATTAAAAATTTGATTTAATTTGTAAAATTATTTTTGTTCCCCATACTTGATTGATATGAAAATTAGGAACACTAAAACAGAACATTGAATTTGTTCATGTAAAATAATGGATAATAAAATTGGAATGAAACAAAACGAAAAAAAAACACATATGGAGATCCTTTGGGTCTCCTTAAAGGCAGAATTTTTTTTGTTCATTTGCTTTATTTTTGAGTAAAACTTAATTAAAAATAATATCATAAGATCCAGACAGAATAATGTTGTTGAACGAAATGTTTTAGTCTTTCTTTCTGGTGTATCACTATTCTATATGTTAGGTTTCAAATGAAGAAAGCGGATGATGCAGAGGAAACAGTTCATTTGATTTGGAACAATCTTGTACTTGCAAGCAACAAAAAAAAAACGAAAACGAATGATTCAAATAAAGAGGAAAAAACTTGATACACACGCACATCTTTACACACAAGAATCGGTTGATCATTTTTTATGATTTTCACGATTGAAAAAATTTAAAATCATTATCACTATCGTTTTGGTTGTTCATCGTATCACTATCATTCTTCATTTTTTTATTTGTGGCATCACACACACACACATACTGAGATTCTGGTTACCCTTAAAAAAACATTATTATATTTAATTTTCTTGCTTTTTTTATTTTGGTTCTTTATGGTGAAGCATCAATAACAACAAAAATTGAAATCTTAACAAAGAAAAGGCCTAAAGAATTGAACCTAGAAAATAAAAATAAAATGAAATGAAATTCGTTGCTAAACGAATCGATAGGGTGGTAAATGATGATGATAATGAAGATGAGTGAGAGAGAAAAAAGTGCAAAAATAAACAATAAACCACTTAACAGCAAATTTTTTTCTCAAGATTTTCTAGATTTGTTTTTGTGTGTGTGTGTTTTCGTAAAATTGAAGTTGGAAAAATGTTTTTCACTATTTTCTGATTCAGATTGACTATTGACTTTATAAAGAATCCACAAACATTAATGTTGTCGAATTTTTTTTCACACTGATTTTGTTTTTCAAGTTGAATTAACTAAAGTTTTGAAAAATCCTCAAACTTGATTATCATTATTGTTTTTTATTATTTAATGTTCATCATCATTTAATTTGATCAAATCGACTAGGCTTTTGCTTTTTCTTCGGATCATATTGATTGAGCTAAAATGATTTACGAATTGAATTGGATATTTCTGTCAAAAATTTTTCAAAATTGAAATTTTTATATCATTTTTTTCGTATCGATTTGTGTGTATTGTTTGAATTTCGAAATAATTTTGACGCCTCAAAGATTTTTACTTTTATTGTTGACTTTTAACTTTTGAGGTTTTTATTTCTGATCATTGATGATTGAAATCGAAGTAATTATTAGATTTTTTTTTGTTCACAATTATTTGATGGATAATTATAGCTAAGAAAAAATGTGAATCAAACAAGAGAAAAGTTTCAATTTTTTTTCGCAGATTCGTTTGATCATTTGACTTTTGTTTTCATATAGATTCAATATACAAAGACACATAAACACACACAGATATTGGCACACAAACACATCAATTTGACGGCTTTTCTTATGATCAAAAACGGGAAAGGAAAAAAAAATATATTTTTTTTTGGTTTTCACAAATTGCTTGAAACATCATTCCACAGAATTGACAGGATATATCTTATAGAAAACACACATTTACACAAATACAAATAGTCATCGATTATAGTCATTTCAAATATATTCTTCTTCATTTCACAAGGGGCAAATTTACCCATTAGAATTCCATTCGGAAGAAAAAAAAGGTTGAAAGAAATTGTTTAGATAGAAAATAATAATAATAATAATAATGCCATTCAATGATGATGATGATGATGAAAATGGATCTCAAGCTTCTTCATTTCTTTTTATCTCTTTTTTTCAACAAAACAATGTCTGTTTGTATAAAAAAGTATCTTATTCCAATAAATCATTCGATTTGAGTTTAGTGAATTTTTTTTGTGTTTGAACAATTCGCACGATGCCTTTCGATTTGATCAAACGTTTTTTTTTCTCTTTCTTTATTGCTCACCATTTGTTTGAAACTTTAACTGTAAACTATCAAATGAAAACAAAACAAAAAAAAATTATACAAACGAAAAAAATGAAACAAGGTTGTGAACCTTTTGTTTGACGTTTCAGTTGTTACTTTGTTGCTGTTGTTATTGGGTTTTTTTTATTGATATGGGAAACCTTGTTTTATTTTGGTCATCCACATCAATTTTTTTAGTTTCATTCTTAAAAATGGTTATAGCCTGGATGATGTTCATTTTTTTTCGTTTCCAATTCTCGAGATCCCATTTCACTCCAATTAATCATTCAATTTTTCATCCATTCTGTTTGAATTGGTTTTAGTTTGTTGAAATGAAAAAAAAATTTCACTCACACACACATTGAACGCAAAAAATCAAGACGGAAATTTTGAACAATTTCAATGGGCTATTAATCTACAAATAATGTCTTTGTCTGATTATTTTTTTTTCTTCTCACTAGAAAAATTATCGTCACATTACTATAATTTAACATTGGTTGCATCGGAAAATTCTGTTTCATTAAATGGCCTTCAACCGGTAACCACATATCAAGTTCGTATTATTGCTATCAATGATCTTGGTCAAAGTGAACCAAGTGATGTAATGTTTGTACAAACGGATGAAGAAACGCCTGGTGGTCCGCCATTACATTTGAAAGCTATAGCATTAACATCTACATCGATCAAAGTATCGTGGAAAACACCACGTAAAGAGCTTCAATTTGGTTTTATTCGTGGTTATTATATTGGCTATCGATTAATTCAATCGACCTCATCAATGGATGGATCATCATCATCATCATCTGGATCTACACAACAAAGTGATTTTATCTACAAAACTCTTGAAGTTAAAGGAAAAGATAATGTTGAAGAATGTATTATTAGCGAGCTTAAACGAGCTTCACGATATGAAATTATCGTGCAAGCTTTCAATTCAAAAGGTGCCGGTCCATCATCTGAACCGGTGCATGTTAAAACATTAGAATTTGGTATGATATTTCACTTGTTAAATCAAAACTCAGAAAAAAATTCAACTCGCAAATTTTTATTTATAGATCCACCAACATCACCAACACTGCAAGTTACTGAAGTAACATTTAATTTCATACGATTATCATGGTCAATGTTGTCCGATCAAATTATATCAGGCATGTTTAATCTCAAATTGTTTTCGGTTTTGTTTTGTTTATCTAATAATAGCCATTATTGTTTATATAATGATTATTTCATTATTTAGGATATATTCTACATTATAAACGCGAATCAAGCGATTGGCGTGAATTGAAATTATCAAATATCCAAACATTTACACATGAAAATCTTCGTTGTGGTACTCGATATCAATATTATTTGGTTGGCTTTAATTCGGCTGGAAAAGGCGATCCAAGCCAAGTAGTTTCGGCACGTACCGATGGAACTTGTAAGTTAACAACAATATTGCTTGCTTTTTTCTGTTTGTTTTCATTTTCATTATTGTTGTTTATACAAGCAATACTATAATGTTTTTATGATGATCGAATGAATGATTAATCTTTAGCAATGATGATCAGATTTTTGAAATTATTCTGATACAATATCCATCATCATCGAATTTCGTATGTTTATACAACGACAACGAAAAAAAACGAATAGTTTTAGCATAAACATTCGATCACACACAAACGAATACGTATCATGTTTACAGACAAATCATAGAGGATTTTGTGGCCAAAATACGTGATATGCAAAATTGATGTCTTTGATTTTTATTTTATTCTTTTGTTGTTATTGTTGTTCGTGTTTTTAGAAATTCGATGTAATGTGATCAATCGAGAATTAGCCGATAATCAGACAGAAAAAAAATCCAATTTCTAATGATCGAGATTGCAATCATCGATAATCATGAAAAATCATGATCATTGATGATTTATCGATGCTTATTTCCTTCAGTCTAATCAATTTGGCATTTGATATTGCCGGAAAATTTTCCTTTTTTTATTTGTTGGAATGGATTTTTCATCATTTTTTTTTCTTTCGACATATCTTCGAATCTAATCAAGTATTCAGATATGATATGATATTTAAATTATTTTCCATACAATAATAACATACAATAAAACATAGTGGGAATGAATTTCATATTTTTTTTTTCTTCCAATTTTAGAATTTCTTACATTTGATTGGGAATGGGGATTTAAAAGAAATTAATCATTGTTCAGACATTGTTGACATCAAATCCAATATAGTGTCATTATATCAATGCTTTCAATATCATTAAAAAAATGTGGTTTTGAACAGCGACAATAACAACAATGAAAATATGAATTCATTTTCGATTTCGATTTTCGATTTTTTCTTTTTTTTGCTTGAATTTTAATTTAAACTAAATATCATTTTCATTCAGTTTTTTTTTCTCTCTCTCTCTTGAATTTTTTATTTTTTTCACATACTTCAATTTTCATTCCAAAAAAATATACATGCAATCAATAACAATGGTTGTGAAGGATGAAATCATATTTTATTGTATTATTTTTTTGAAAAAAGGAGAAAATTTTTAATGCTTTCTTTAGCTATTGTTGTAATAATGAGATTTTTTTCTCTCTTGCTTTGGATCGTGATTATTATGGTGATGATAGGAACGGAAATGTTTGAAGAGAGTGATGGAAATTGCTTCACAATGATGATGATGTTTTTGTGATAATTTATTAATATGTCAATAATGATCTTTAGAATTAAGAGTGGGTGAAGAAGAAAAAGAAAAGAGACAGACAAAAAAAAATTGAATGAATGAAGATTGTCGAATTTTAATTTCAAATCCAATCTTAGGGTCATCATTATTATTACTTTGAGATTTATTGAATAACATGGAAAAAATTATTCAATTTTTTTCTATGTTGTCATCAGCATCTCACAAGATTTTGATGAAATTGAATATATGAATCAAACGATAGAGATAGAGATAGCGAAATTCTTTTCCATTTCAATGAAAAAAAAACAGAAATGATAATCAAATGTTTGGCTGTGTAAATGATTTTTTTCTTCATTGAATTCATTTCATGTTCATTCATTTGTATAGCACTTTAATGTTATAGAAAGATGAGTAGAGGGGAGAAAAAAATACATGAATTGGATATTGAATATACGACATAGATAACATGAAATAAATTCTATAATTGCTCTCGGTGCCCATCATTCATGCCAGAATCAAACGTGTGTGTTTGTGTTTGTATATACCATTAAAAATGAATAAGAAAAGAATTTATGCTTATAGAAAAAAAAATTCTTTTGGGCACCATATCAACTATTTGTGTGTGTGTGTTTGCAGATGTCAATGGCTTTTAATTTTCCATTTCTGCCTTTTAACGACGGAAAATTGTATTGAATTGTTCTGTTTGTATTGAATTTGTGAATAGAAAACTAATGTCCACAATATTAGGATGATAAAAGTAAATTATTATTTTTTCGGTCAAAAAAAAATATTAGATTATTGAAAATGAAAAAAAATGTTCAGAATAAATATTGTGGTAGTATATTTACATGATGACCTAATAAAAAAAAAACTTATATAATCGTTGTTATTGAAAATTTTGTGTTTTCATAATCATCATCATCATCATCATCATATTTGAACTATTCGATATAAAGAAATAAATAAAAAAAACATTCGAGATCAAATATGACTACAAACTAATAAAGAATTTTCTAAATTTTTTTCTTTTCTTATTTTCCATATTGACTTCTTTATCATTTTCAAGTTTTATTTATTTATATTTTCCGTTTTCAATTTCGATCTTAGTTCAAATAATATTCTGGAACGAAACGAATATTATAAAAAAAGAAAAAAAATAAGTTGAGTGGAATTTCCATTTAACATTCACAATTACACATTCACACACTTTATTCATACGACATTGACTATTTGAATCGGTCATTTCAATTATTATCATCATCATTCGATCATCAAATAGTCAATGACTCTCTCGGTTTTTTGACGTTATGATGAATGAATGAATAGTGAAAAAACTCACATTTTTTCAATACCAAAAGAATACGAAACATTCGATTCGATAAAAATACCATACAAATCATTTGTATGTGTATATGTTTATTGCAACAAAATGATAGTCACGAAAAAAAGAAAAATTATCATACATATTGGTTATATAACTCGAATCAATTATTATCATATTTTTTATCATGCTGACCATCCATAATATTGATTGTAACACCTGCATGGATCTAATTTCTTTCACACCTTATTCATTCTACTATGTGTACTTAGTTAAATTTAACATATCATAAATTTCAAACAAAAACTCAAGTTAAAAAAGAAATTGTCAATTTTTTAAAATAAAAATCACATAGAATAAATGAGAATTTGATTCTTATTGATGAATGTTTATCGTTTTCAAACTATTTATGAGCTTGATACACAAAGAAAAACGAATTCCAATGAATTCAGTTTTTAACCAATATTCCAATGATGTCCTAAATGCAAACAAAAAACAAAAATTTAATGAAATCTTGTCATTAATGTTGATGCGGTCCTGTCTGGCCGTGGTCACAAGAAACTATTTAAGATTTATCTTTTTTATATACAATTAATTTCTTCTTCTCTTTTTTTTACTTCTTTATTTCGAGAAAAATAATTCTTTTGTATTTTTTCTTTTACATTTTTATTTTTTATCTTCTCTGTCGCTCCTTTTTTTCCTTCTCTAAATATAGCTCCAGTTGCTCCCGATAAGAATTCGTTGCTTTCGGTCAATTACACTATGGTTACTATTTATCTTGATTCATTTCATGATGGTAAGTTTTTTCCTATATTCTTTCTTTTTTCTTATTTTGGAATCTTTGAAAACATTTTCTTGAATGGAATCGAAACCATATAGTATATAAATCTATGTACCGCTTCCAGAATGAAAATAATAAAAATAATAATAATCATTCTTAATGTTCATTTACTATCATTTTTTTCTCGTTCATTGTTCACTCTGTTTTCATCGTATTTCTATTCTTGATTTTTTTTTTATTTTGGCCATGTTGACAATGACGATCAAAGGCGGATGTAAAATAAATAATTTCGAAGTGATGTACAAAACGGATCGATTACATAACTGGACCCCGTTGACAATGTCCGATCAACGAACTATTGTGCTCAATGATCTACTGCCAGGACATAAATATCAGATTCGAGTGACCGCATTCAATGAAGCCGGTAGTACTGAAGCTGAATATCATTTCATCACGCCGATGTCATCGTTACAAAGTAATAATATTAATGATGATGATAATTTTAATAAAATATTTTCCATTGAATCTTCTCTTATCTATTCATTTTTTTCTATTGTATTTTCAGATGATCAAGCTATCATTTTAATGGGCTCTCGGTCAACATCTTCTGTGCCATTCTATGCTGATGTTTTAGTTGTTGTACCATCGGTCATTTCATTTGTTGTCATTGTCGTTCTTTTATCACTTGTTTATATCATTTTTACTCGAAAACCTCGGCATACAAATAATATTTATGGTAAGCCCTGGTGTTATCTAATGAATTAATTTTTCCAATGCTTTTTCTATTATTTTAGGCAATTTTAATGATCAGAATAAATTTACAACCGAAGGAAATGAATCGGTCATTATGGGAGAATTAGAGGCTAAATATGCCAATAATTTAAATGGCGGATTCAACACCAATACCGACCTTAAAGGCTATCCAGTTGCTGGTAATGGTGGTGGTTGTGTAGCCACAATGAATCAAAATGTTGTTCATTTTCAAAGCCCATATGCAATGACTAATATTCAGGAAAAAGCCGGAAATGAGGAAAGATATCCACTTAATCATTTAAACATGTCGCCAATGAAGGCGGCAAACGTGAGTTTTATCATAGTAAATCTATGATTTTATAAAACTAAACTAATTCTACTATTATAATTCTATACAGTATTCAATTGAACATGATGGAATCTATGCTACAGTTAAACGGACACCAAGGCCACCAAGATCCGATGTGCACATCTATCAATTTCCTCGTACGACCAGGATAATACCGCCTAACGCCTATAGTATTGTTGATGATGATTAGTATTACATACCACACCCCCATCATCATCATTAGAAGCATGTGTCTTACCATTTATGAAATTTGCAATTGATAAATCATCATTTCCTCCATCCATTTACATAGAAAATTCAATTGATCCATCGAAACCCCATATCCTATGTAGTTTTCTATAGGTTTTTTTCTCGTTTGCAATCATAACTAATTCACACCCATTCTGTGATTGTATCTTTTAGGTGGCTCAACAATGGCTACAGCCACAACCGTTGCAACAACCGATGATATTATCAACCTCGATTCTGAATCATTTGATTCATCAACACCGAATAGTGGAGGATGTCGAATATCGAACAACAATATGGGAAATGGAGGAGGAGGATTGGGATCATCATCATCAACGGCGACGACGAATCCACACACATCCAACAACCATTCGAATAATCAAAACACTGCCAATTGGCGAGCAACAGCAAATCCAAACACAACAATGGTCACACGATATGATTCAAAGGAACATCATCAACAACAACAACAAGGAACAATGGCTCATATGAAAAAAATGCAATATGGACAAAATCCATTGTTCCATGAGTAATCTTTCTGGCTTTAAAACATTATTCATTTTTTATTAACAAATATATCATTCGTTTTGAATTCGGGAAAAAGTTTGAATGTTTGAAAATCAAAGGTTTAATTGTTTTCATCGTGCTGCTTATCATATGTAATAATAATATTTTTCTAATTGATGAAAAAAAACACTTATTTAATTTGCTCATCCTACTCATTAATGATGATTTTATCCAATTTTTTAAAAATCAAATGTTCTGTTCTGTATAATTGTTCATCATCATGTTATATATAGACCATTAATGTTTTACAACCAAACTGAATGATTATATTAACCGATGCTTTCCTTTTCTTTATATCTATTTGTTTGCCGAAATGATGATTATTATTATGATCATTCAAATTTATTGATCGATTTTTAATCAATAAAGCCAAATGTTTTTCTTTTTTGTTGTGAAAACTGTAAAAAGAATTATTAAATCATTTTTTTACGAAATCAAAAGCTGCTGCCACCTATCCAATCGAAATAGTAATAATTTGTTTTTTGTAGATAATTCGAATTCATTAACTTGGATTAAATCTAAAAATGGATTATTAATTTAAATGTATTTACCTTGAGAATTTAGCATCGACCTTTGGATAAATCGAGACTACATCGTAATTAATTTCTTTATCTTTATTAATCCCGTTGAAAACGATTCTCTTTTTTTTTGTTTATCGACAAGGATCAATCAATTAACGACAAGTCGTCTTAATTTTAGTCTCTGGTTTTAATTTTTAATCATAAAAATAACAACCGATTTGCCATTTTTATTATCAAATTGATGTTTAAGAAAAAACTGATGCCATTTATAACCATCCAGGATCTTACTCATAATATTGATTTTTATAATCAAATCTTTTTTCGTTCAACTAACCTGAACAATATCGTGTCATTATTATTGCATTAAAAAAATGAAATTATTTTTATTTTTCTTGTTTATTGGAACAACATTGGCATATCCAATCAGTCAAGGTTTGTTTGTTACATTTATGAATTTAAAAGCACATTTATTTTTACATAGATCATCGTGATAATGAAATGGCCGAAACATTGATTAATCGCGCTCGATCATTGGTTGAAAAAGCAAAACATGTAATCGATGAAAATGAACAACAACATGAAGATTTACTATCATCGATCAAGAATCTTAAGGACCAAGTGAAAACATTGTCAGATGAATTTGAAAGAAAATATCAGGGATTAGATTTGACTAAGAATGAAATCCACACAATGAGTGAGGATTTATTGCATTTAGAAAATCGATTGACAGAAGAATTCATAATTTTTTACGATCACATCGAACATGATGATGATGATGATAATAATGTCGATCATTTAATCAAACGCGCAGAAGATTTGATTAAGAAAGCTCATGATGAAATTCGACAATATAATCCAGATTACCGGACAAGAGCAGTGGTACAATTTGAAATTGCAGCAGTGATGAAATTGGTTGAAGTTATTCGACATGGTGATGAAGAGCAACGACATAAATATATACCACAATTAAAAAGTCAATTACGATCATTAGAAATTGTTTTAGAAAAGATAAGAAAATAAAATGAAACAATTTTTTGATTATCATAAGAGGAGAAATAGAAAATTGTATTTATTTATTAATTATTGATTTACAAGATGTCCAGCTAAAAATGGTTTGATTTCTTTGACCAAAAATGTAACAAATAAATCAATCTGTGGATTTGAATTGGACGTTTGTTTCATCATATTCAATAATAAATCTGAAATTTCTTGATTATTTTTAAATACAGTAATCATCGGTTCCAATTGAAAATTATATTCTTGATCATTGACTAATGCCTGAAATTCTTCTATAATATCGGATTCAAATATATAGGATGAAAATAATGGATAAATAAAAGTTGGCTTAATAGGTGTCGATGGTGGCTGCTGCTGTGTAAAAGTAGTAGTTTTAGTTCGTATGATCATCATTGTTTTGATGAAAGCCGGATAAAAATACGGCCATTGATATTGTGATAACACCATTATATGACCGATAGTAAAATCCGTGATTAAAGATGATAATAATATAATAGTTGCATCAATCAATAATCCTATGACATTTTCTAAAGTTGGACATAGAAAAATCATCTGTCTGGAATTATGATATTCATTAGCCAGTTTAATGTTACAATAATTAATTTCAGATTTTTCGTTTGCATTTTTGCTCATTAGACTCTTTGTCAACTGGTAACCAAAAGTGATGTTGGAATCACCCGAATCACTTGAAACTGATGAGCATAAAAGATCAATAATTTTGATGATAAATACAGCAGCATCTTTTGATTGATTGAGTTTTATGCTTAGCGTAAGATATTGTATATAATATTGAAGCCAATATAAAAGATTGGAAAAATTATTGTTCACAATATCTCTATATTCAAAATTTTTCAAAATTTGCATTGCATTATGATAATCGGCTTCATGTAATGCATGACAAATTTTGTATTGAAGAAATCGATAATTTTTGTTGAGACCGATTTGAGCAATGTAAGCATTGAATTCTTTGTATATAAAAAATAATTATCATTTATAGTTGATATATGTCACAGATCATATGTAAGCTTACCTTGTTTAATGAAATCTATAGAAACATTAAATTTCAGCAACAATTGAACATCGGTGATCAGATCCTTATCTGAAGCAATTAAACAAGGGGCATAGTTCATTAGTTTTCGTTTTTTTAGATTCAAATGGGCTATAGCTTTTCCATCAGAATACCCGGAAAGTTTTTCACAAATGATGCGATCCCCAATCTTGGACATTGATCGACAGAAAAGGATTGTAAACAAAACAATTGAATAGAAACCGATTTTTCGATAATCTGAAGAATCCAGCTTCAAACTTAAGTCGAGCACTTCATTGTCGCGACAGAAGCATTTGTGAGTATATGTAGATAATGTGTCTAAATTAGATTCGATTTGCGATAACTCCAATGGGTTTTCGTGACTAAAAACTTTCCATTTTTTGTAGTCACCAATCAAGGTAACCAGTTCAATAAGTTTCTTTTCAAGCAACGGTCGTTTCTTATGAATATTTTCTGACAGCAAAAAAAAAGATGAATTGAAAAAATTGCTAACATTTTACTTTACCTTTGCTATCGTCAAGAAAATCTTCAATATAATATTTAAGTCCTAATAGAAAATGTTTTTCCAATACGGTCTCATCAAATGTTTTGTAATAATATTGGGATGAAAACAAAACAGGCATCACATGAAAAATGTACTTTTCACGAAGATATTCTTGAATGTTTGGCTCAAAATCTTGGGAAAATTTTTCTATAATTTTTATCAATGCGATTGCTGCTTGTATAACATTTTCATGATGATAATGTATGAGAATAAAAACATATAGATCGATCAATTGTTCAATTTTATCCATGTAAAACGAACAAAATTTAGTTATAAAATTGATTCGATGTTCCACTTGAAACTTTTTCCAAAGTTGGTAATAAAATTTTGTATCACGCATATCGACATTGAATAAAATCTCAAAATCTTGTCTTTTCAAACAATGTCTCCATTGATCACTTATCGAAAATAGAATGCATTTCATTTCTTCAATAAAAAAATCTTTCAAACCATTCATTTTTTCTAGATTGTGACGTTTTGAGTCATCAGTTAATTTGTTCCATGATTTGTTATCATAGAACAAATCGGTAAAATTTTTGTATGCATTATCATAATCATTTTCAAGTTTGGCCATTCTATACAGTTCTATCTGTAAAAAAATAATTTTCAAACAAAATCGATCATTGAAAAAACATACCTTGATAAGGAAATTATCTTTATCCATTGCTCCAGCTACCATTAAATAGGATTTTGCAAGGGGATAATCTTTCTCTTCGATTATTTTTTTGGCTTTCTCAAGAAAATAACCAAATGATTTGGTAGATTTGGTTTCTTTTGATTTGGTCATTTTAATAAATTTAATCAGAGAAAATGGTGAGATTTACGAAATTCAAATGAGTTTATTGTTTTTTTATCTTCCCTGCTCAATCATCATCATAGATCAGCTGATCGAACGTTCCATTCGTTCGTTAAAATATGGAGAAAGCGAAATTCATTCTGAATAATGTTTATCAGTTTTTAGAATCGAAAAAAATATCTAAAATGGACATTTTCATTTTTCATCATATTATTTTCAGTCCTTGAGACAAATTGTGTATCAAAATGCTTAAGTTGTCAAGTAGTTTTTGAAATGATAAGATTTATTGGTTACTTACCCTATAAAATGACTCTAAGATCCGTTTCTTATTTTCTAAAATTAAATTATTTGATCTTAATTGTTCGAAAAATTTTTGCTGAGAAAACAATTGAAAGATAAACGAAAAAGATGAAATTGCTATTTGTTTTTGCAATTTTAGTTATCACTGTCTATGCAAAAGGTTTGTTCGAAGAAAAATTTTCACTAATAAATAAAATTTATATTTAATTTCAAAATAAAAAAGATGATTATGGCGAAAAAGAATTTGCAAAAAGATTGCTTGAAGATTGTGAGCATCTTAATCAAAAGACTTTATCGCTTATCGAAGACTATGAACGTCATCAAAAAGGTCATTTATTAGAAACGGTCAAACATGAAGCCGAAATGATAAAACCACTAATTGATGAATTGAAAAAAGACAGCGAAGAAACGGATTCGTTGAAACAAATAAGTCGATTGCATGTGATTGAAGAACGATCGTTTTATCGGGAAAATCGAATCAGTGAAGAAATGGAAATTGTACAGGAAATAATCTTTGACTATAAAAGTCGACAAATGACTGTCGGACAAGTTATCGAAAGAGCTAAGATGTTGGTAGAAATCGTCAGTGAAGCATTGGAAAATAATCAAGTTACACAACGCAACCAAGAACCTGTTCAGTTCGAATTGCAATTGTTGAACAAAATGATAAAACTATTAGAAACTGAAGACCATAATATAATCGCCGTAACCGATGAAGAACGTTTGGCACGTATTGAAAAGAGTCTGCATCAATTGATAAAAAATTTACAACCGATACCTACTCCAACAACACCTGTTCCAACTACTACTGAACGATCAACAACGGGATCATCAACGACTGAATCCTCAACAACGGTATCATCAACAACCGAACCATCAACGACTGAATCATCAAC